CAGGGCCTGGCACACATGAAGTGCCCCATAAATACTGGTTCTTGTTTACTATTCTTAACTCAGACAGCTGAGGAGGTGGGCTCAGAAAAGGAGGGAGGGGCTTCCCTGGTGGTGCAGTGGTTGAGAGTCCGCCTGCCGATGCAGGGGACACGGGTTTGTGCCCCGGTCCAGGAAGATCCCACATGCCGTGGAGCGGCTGGGCCTGTGAGCCATGGCCGCTGAGCCTGCGCGCCTGGAGCCTGTGCTCCGCAACGGGAGAGGCCACAACAGTGAGAGGCCCGCGTGCCTCAGAAAAAAAAAAAAAAAGAAAAGAAAAAGAGGGAGAACATTCCAAATCGAGTAGGGACATCACATGGACTCCCCTCCTCCCCTCCACAGCTCATGACCAGCCATCCTCCCTCTGTCCCTCCGGGCCTCCCCCAGAGACCCCTACCCCGCACTCTCCTCGCAACTTCTCTCCAGCTTTCACTGGACCTCTTGTGCGACTTCTCACTCTCTCTCCTAAAATATCACTATTTATGCTTGTGTCCTGCTGCCCCTTTTAGACCTAAGTTCCTTGAGGCCAGGACTGCGTCTTCCTCTTTTTCTCTCCTCCCTCTTTCCCTCCCTTCCTCCCTCCCTCCCCCTGCTTCCTGACTTCTTTCTTTTGTCCTTTCTTTCTCTCTCTCCTTTCTTTTCTTTTCTTTTTTTGGTATCTAACATTAAGCTTTACCCATTTTGTTTAATGCATGAATTAAAAAGCCATTTAACAACTAAATGTCTGCCTAGTAGCCAAGAGCAGCCCTGCCTTAGAAGCTTACCTACTTAGCTGAGCATTTCAGTCTAAAGCAGCAGTTCTCAACCAGGGGATTCTGTCTCCTTCCCCGACCTCCTCCTGGGGACATGTGGCACTGTCTGGAGACATTATTGATTGTCACACTGGGTGGGGATGCTACTGGCATCTCGTGGGTAGAGGACAGGGATAATGATAAACATCCTGCAGTATATAGGACAGCCTCCTACCTCAAAGAATTATCCAGGCCCGAATGTTGGTAGTGCTGAGGTTGAGAAACCCTGGTCTAGAGTAGCTCCGGCAGGAGAGAAGAGGGGACCCCAAAGTCAGATTACTCCAACTCCTGAGTTCTGCAGTTGGCCTTGACTGTGTCCTTACAGCAGCCGGCAGTGGTGCCCTGCCCCCCTCTGCTGGGTCCTGCTGACTCTCTTTTCTCTGCCCTTTGTGAGCTACGGAAACCCATTAAGTCAGTGTATCTTGTGATGGCTCCATTGAGCGTGGGTCCAGAGCCTCCCACTCCTGGTGGGCTTGTGTGGGGGGTTTTTCAAGCAAGCCTGCTTCCTCTAGCCACAGAGAAATGTGATATGACAGTTTGTAAAAGTGTCGCTTTGTAAAAATGCCAGGCGTAATCTCAAGGCACAAAGAACACCGTAGAAATCAGAATCGACTTGAGGAGTCGTGGCCAGCAAAGGTTGGAATTAAATGGCAGGCTCTGTGGGCTCGTGTTGTTTTGTTGGGGTGTTTGCCAGTTAATACAGCTCATTGAAAAAATGACTTCTAGACCTTTTCTCTCTTTAATAATGACCTGTTACGGGTTTGAAAATGGCAAATATTATCTTCGTTTTAGAAACTGCCTGAGCTTCATGTGGTCCAATGGTGTCCATCTTTTTTATTTTTGTAACATCTTTGGCTGGTGGGGAGGGGTGGGGTGGATGTTAAGAAGAGGCAGGTCAATTGATTTTCCTGCTTTTCCATTGAAAAAAATAATGTCTGCAAGGGAACCCCACAATAACTCTTCATAAAGCTCTCCTGTTCTGTTCAAATGCATTTAAAATGCTCAGAAGTAAACAAAAGCTTGGCTTAAGAAAAGAAATAGTCAAAAACGTAGTCAAGTGTAAACTGGAGAAACCTGCAGAGCTTTGGTCCAGCTAATTCCTTGGATATCTAAGGTAGGCATCCATTCAGGGAGAGGAGGGAACGTGAGTATGGTTGCTGAGCAACAGTTCCCATGGGGAGAAGAGCATCAGTGGGTTGGCTATAGACTGCATAAAAGATGGGTCAGGACAGAAGGAAGGAGGAAGCTCAGTCATTCTTCCTCCACCTTCTGTTTCTGAGCTAGAAGGGAAGATACACAATAAAGACCCAAAGGGTGGTGGCAGGATTGCTGTGCAATTAGCAGGGCTGCTCTTTGCAGAACAGAAACCAGCTAATTATTGAGGTGAGGAATCATTCTGACTTTCAGATTATGCTAGATATGGGTTGAAGGCAGCTTTCTGAAACCAGGAAGCACTGAAAAAGAGAATAATTGAAGGTTTCCTGAGTACTGAAAGGATGCCAAAGATACACAGAAATTGCAGGCAGGTGAGCTTAATGTCAAAACGGTGTCTTCATATCCCTGTGAAGCTGTGTTGCTGAAGGCAAGGTGTGTAAATTCTCTGTGCTTCAGTTTTCTCATTCATAAAATGGGTGTAATAATAGTTGTGAGAATTAAGAGTTAATATAGAACTTAGAACAGTGTTTGCATGTAGTAAGTGCAATATGAATATTAGGTACTATTACTTTATTTTTCTCTCCTCTTCCAGAACAAAGACAGGTCTGACCTTTTTATGCATTTTAATATCATGCATTTTCTTATATTCGAAGTTCGTGAAATTATGACAGTAACTTGACTTTGTATGTAGTTCATATTGTATATCCATCAGGATGTGCAGATTATGCTTGATAACGAACAGTCTTTAGAGCTTAATACTAACACAAGTCTGTATCTTTTGTTCTTGTCCAGTGAGGATTGTTTTTAGTCTACTAGGGTTGCCATAACAAAATACCACAGATTGGGTGGCTTAAACAACAGAAATTTATTTTATCACAGTTCCAGAGGCTAGAAGTCCAAGACCAAGGTGTGTGCAGGCTTGGTTTCTGCTGAGGCCTGTTTTCCTGGCTTGCAGATGGCCACCTTCTCGATGTTTCTTCACATGGCCCTTCCTCTGTGCACACACAGAGAGAAAGAGAGAGCTCTCTGTTATCTCTTCCTCTTCTTATAAAGACACCAATCCTATTGATCAGGGCCCCACCCTTATGACCCCATTTAACCTTAATTACCTCCCTAGAGACCCTATGTCCAAATATAGTCACATTGGAGGTTAGGTCTTCAACATATGAATTTGGGGTGGGGGGAGATACAATCTAGTCCATAACAGGATTGGGGGTGGAGGTGGGCCTTTCTTCATAGTATTTATTTGAAGACCCCGGTTCTCAGGGGCTTCATCTCAGCACATGCCCATCTCTCCCGCCCCAGCTCATGCTGAATGAACTCACTTTGATGCCCCAGCTGCACAGTTCCCCGAACTCTGAGTTCTTTGCCAGCTTCCTTCTTCTCTACCTGGACTGTTCTTCCATAACTGCTTCCATCTCATCCTTTAGACCTTAGTCGACACCCTATCTACAGATGGTCCTTTGTCCCAGGCAAGCCTCAGCTTTAGGCTCCTACGAGTAAGTAGAAGGGGTAAAATTCACCAGCCTGCAGTTCTTGTAGCTGCCCTACCATTTCACTTGATGGTAGATGGGGTACCCTGAGGGGAACCGCTAACTGATAGAGGAGCAGTCATACAGCGGTATCTCTAAAATGCCATGAATCCATTACACTAGGAACATGTCCCTCACCCCCAGGTGACCGACAACTGCTGTCACCACCACTCCTCTTGGTGGCAGCCATGAGAAGACAGTGTTGGCTTCCTGTGCCCCGGCCCCTCTCTTCCTGGCTTTCCTCTCCAGCCCCACACCTGCTTTCTGTTCCTTTTGGAGGCACAGTGGCTGCAGGCCAGGTCTCTGGAGGCAATGGTTTGAGTTAGAGTCCAAGCTAGGCCACTTACTAGCTGTGCCACTTTGGACAAGTTACTTTACCTCTCTGAGCCTGTTTCCTCATCTGTAAAATGGGGATGATGGCAGGACCTATCTCACAGAGTTGTGAGGATTAAACTATTTCTGATGTGTGAAGTGCTTAGAACAGTGCCTGGCCCATGGTAAGCTCTAGATTGCATTTATTGCTGTTGCTATGAAGCACTGTCTCAGCACATACCCAGATGTAACATTTGCTTTGAACTGTGGATTTGAAACTTCTTTTTAAATTAGCCAAACACTTTTCAAGTGAGATCTTAAAGGGAACCCCAATATATAAAACAGAGTTTACAAGGGCTCTTCTGGTTGTAGCGGGGTGGGTGTCCCAGGAACTCTCTCTCAAACCCCTCAGTCTCTCTCACCAACTAGAAGATAATGTTTCTCACGTGTGCCTCGTGGACCAGCGGCATCAGAATCACCTGGATTTTAAAAATGCAGAGGCTGGGGTCCCAGTGCAGCCTGCTGAATTGGATTCTCCAGGGGGCGGAGCCTGGGAATCTGGATTTCGGTATAGTCTTCAGGTGATTCTGAAGCACAGAGGAGCTCATGCAAGCATCATAACTACATATTTATTTTCCCCACTCCTGCCAAGGGAAAACCCTTCTAGGGTAGTGAGTGGAGTTTCTACAGCGCTACACTGATCCTCTGTTCAATTTCTCCTGGGTGGCAGTGGAAAGGAGGCTGGCATTCTTCTTGGGAAGCTGCCTTACACACTGGAGGGTACTGCCATTGGTTGGCACCGCCCCTCCGCATCTCACAGCCTTGCCCTGCCCTCTGCCCCGAGGGCGCTGGGTATTACCAGATCTGGATTACGGTCTACAGAGCTTCTAAACCCTAAAAAGATTATGCTCCCTTCCATCACCACCTTGAGTGATTCAAAATCAAAATTGCCACACCTTAAAGAAAGGGAGACCAGCACATTCTGGTTTCTTCCATGTGATTCCCCTGAGGCCTTTTGAAAACGTTTAAATTGCATTCAAGTCAACTTTTCCCCCCTTTTGTGTTTGGGGGCACGCGCCTGCTTTGCACCTGGTAAGCACTCACCTTGCTAACTTGTAGGCAATCCTGGGCTGCAGCCTAAACCTCTCTCTCGTTCTGCCTGCCTTTCTCACAGGGCTTGACGAAATCCAATGCTCCCTGCCCATGGAGAACAGGAGGATATTCCTGCAAGAGCTGTCGGAGGCCAGCTTCAGCGAGTGCAAGTTCAGCCTCTCGCTCACAGACCTGTTCATCATCATCTTCTCTGGCGTGGCTGTGTCCATCGCCGCCATCATCTCCAGCTTTTTTCTGGCCACCGTGGTGCAGTGCTTCCAGAGGTGCGCCCCCAACAAAGACACTGAGGACGAAGATGAGGATGAGGACGACTGAACCACCTGCACCCCCTCCTCGCTCTCCAGACCCCCAGCAGGTGGCGCTCCTCCGAGGGAAATGCTGAAAACGGAGAAGAATTGACCATCAGTGACCAGAGCAGCGCCTGCTCTGAGCCTTGCCCCCTGGGCGCACCCGCTGAGACCGCTGATCTCAGAGTTTAGAATCCGCAGAGCGAAGGAGCCCAGGAAGGATTCCCCGAGGAGAGCCTGCCTCTCGGCTTGAGGTGCGTGTGGGCAGAAGATGACCGAGTCAGGTTTCAGAGGTGACAGCTGAAAACAGCACGGGGGATGTGAAGACTGGCAGCTCTCACCTGCAAAGGTGACTTTGTGCCGTCCATTTCTCTGACCTGGACCGCAGAACCAGGCAGCTTCTCCTTCCTGCTGAGAGGCAGCAGCCTAGACAGTGGGGATTGGAGTTCAGGTCCGTCTCCACAGGAGTGGGACTTCTGCCCCTTCTGGAATGGGCTTCGGCCACCTTAGGGTGTTATGCAGAGAACAACCCCACGTCTGGCTAAAGTGGCACCGAGGAAGAAGCTAAGACCTGGCCGAAGGGTGTCTGTTGTTGTATTTTGGTGAGCAGGTCAGGAAAATATTTGTTGACAGAACTCAAACCCCGATCCTTATCCTAAGAGGTGGCAACTGGTAAAGGAAGAACAGTCGTTTCTGTACACTTGTGATGGCCTCTGCTGAGAGTCACTCTTCCCTCTGAAGCACAGCAGTTGTTTCCATCTTGCCCCGCCATTTCCTTCAGCCTTGAGTCCCGCCTTGACTGAATAACGCCTGTTCATTCTCTGTGCTGGCACCGTTCCAGACTTGTCATCTCCAGAACTTGCGATAAACTTTCCTGGAGGCCAGGATTCCAAAAAGCAGGTTATATCGGACCAATAAAATGTTAAAAAAAAAAAACAAAAAACCTGGGACTTGGCTTCTGTAGAACCTCCATCAGTGGCCTTAGGGTGTGTGTGACATTCTTTGGAGCATAGGCTGTGACAGGCAGTGTTTTCCAGGATGCGGACTGCAGCACTTTGGTTCAGAGACAGTAGGAAACAATGCCATGCACCCAGCAGGTTGATGCAAGATGATGGGTATCGGCAGCGTCGGACCTTGCTGGGGACTGACACTTAGACGAGGGGCTGGTGAGAAGCTCCTGGGATATTTGGGGAAGCATCTTTCCATTGTTTCCCATAATATATTCCTTATATTTCTTCCTCATTGCTCTCTTGCATCTTTGCCTCCACAAAGAATTACTGAGTGCTTGCTAAGTGCCCTGGTCCAGGAATTGTGGGTACACCTTCCAGAAGGAAGGTGGGGCCCCAGCTCGCTTGGGCCTCAATAATCTTATGGGTAGAATATGAAACAAACAAGTAAACAAAACTATAATTGTAGGTAGTGATAAGCACCATGAAGGAAAGAAATGAGACCTTGTGACAGAGAGTAAGTGGGAGGAACCGGTCAAGGGTGGATGGATGGGTGTATTAGGCAGGGCTCTCTAGAGAAACAGGATCAACAGGAGCTCTGTCTGTCTATCCATCTATCTGCATTACAAGGAATTGGCTCAGGCAGTTATGGGAACTGAGAAGTCCCACAGTCTGCAGCCAGCCAGCTGGAGACCCAAGGAATGCTGGTGGTGCACTTCTGGTCTGAGTCCAAAGGCCTGATAGCCAGGAGAGGCAATGGTTAAGTTCTAGTTTGAGGGCCGGAGAAAACTCAGCTCAAGTAGTCAGGCAGAGGGAGAGGAAGGGGGGAGGGAGAGGGAGGGAGAGATGGAGAGGGAGATGGAGATGGAGAGAGAGCGAGAGAGGGAGAGAGGGGAGAGAGGGGAGAGAGAGAGAGAGAGAGAGAGAGGGAGAGAGAGAAATTCCTCCTTTCTCCGCCTTTTTGTTCTATTCAGATCCCGATTGATTCGGTGCTGCCCACCCACTTTGGGGAGGGGCATCTGCTTTACTCAGTCTACAGATTCAAATCCTAATCTCATCCAGAAACACCCTCACAGACACACCCAGAAAGAATGTTTAACCAAATAACTGGGTACCCTATGACCCAGTCAAATTGATGCATAAAATCAGCCGTCACTCGGGGGCCACTGATTGGGTCGTTTTGAGCTGAATCCTGCCTCCTTCTCCCACCTCCTTGCTTCCCTCTCCCCTTCTCTCCTTTCCTCCTCTTCCACTCTCTGTCTCTACTCTTCTTTCTCCTCTTCACCCTCGAGGAGACTCCTGGTCACCTTTCTAGCCCCCAGCATTGTTGGCTCCAGTGGAGAAGACCCCTGGTTCAGAGGGGCTGTCTTCTCAGAGTCGCTGGGCAAATGGAGAAGTGGGCCAGCATCTTCCCAGACTCCATGGCAACCTCCGTGGGCCCCACCCTCAGTGCAGGTAACGCTTCCATTGAGGAAACAATATAGGCAAACAAATGGTCATCACGAACCGTTAGGTGCTGCTCGAATTCCTGTCGAAAGGTTCCAGCCATCATTTGTACCTTATTGTGAATGAAGGTTCCTGGAGACAGTTTTCAGTCAGGAGAGAGAACTGCACTGATGGGCCATCATAGGGGAGATAGAAAAGACCATGGAGTAGGGGGCCGAGGGCTCAGAGGACACGAAACAATCTAACACCAGCACCTCCCCAGCCTGGCCACAGACTCAGCTGGGACTTGTGTGGGGTTGGAATTACGGTCTGTCATCACAGTCTCCAATCGCCATTCCCAGGAGCATCCTACCAGGGACACAACTAAAGGCCCTGGATCCAACTGGGCCCCCACCAAAGGCACACTGTGTTTTTCCCAGAATCCTAGGGAGGTGATACCCCAAGTTGTGGAAACTGCACTAGACCCTTGTTATAATAGGTTCTGATAGATGAATTCCCTCTTAATAAGTCTATTTTAATCCTTCAGTCCACTTCAAGTGGTTCATTGTGGTCAGCAGGCTCAGCTCTTTGCTCGGAAGACACACACCCTGCAGAGTGTAGGGGCCGGTGGTCATTTACTGAATGGATGAGTGAGCAAGGGAGGGGCCCCAAGGCTTGCTGGGTGCCAATTAACCATCATTTCTGCGGACTGCAACCTAGAGGTTTGAAAAGAACATGATTTGGGGGAAAAAGAAGAGTTTTCAAGTATTGGCAGTTGAAACAGTCATCTCCTGGATATAAAGTTCCCGTGAAACACTGGGGACATGGGGACATTAGGGACATCTGTGGTCAAATCCAAGGAAATATACTGACCAGGAGCCACAGCTCAACTGGGGAAACGCCTTTGAGAAGTGACATTGCACAAGCAGCAGGTGATGATTTAGTGCTCTCTGTTGCATCTCAAGTTATCATTAACAACCATGGTAATGCTGCATACCAGTTGAGGGCCTCCTCTGCGCCGGACATCCCCCGCGCAGATCTCCCAGATCTCCACTAGTGTCATTTGGGTCTCAAGTGTCACCTCCTCAGAGCCACTCTCATCACGCCATCCTGTATTATCTTTTGCACAGCGTGTACCACCTCTTTGTTTACATGTTCATTGTCTACCTTTTCTGAACTAGAACATGAGCTCCCCAAGGGCAGGAACTCAGGCCCTTTGTGTCTCCAGCATTTGAACAGTAGTGGCACAACCAGTATGCATGTGGGGTGAAAAAGCAAACAAATGAATTCCAGGCACAGTACTAGAAACTCTAAAAACCTGAGCTCTACTTAAGCATACTCACAACTCAGGTGGAGAGCTGCTATCATCCTCATTTTGTCGACTGAAAAAAACTGCACAACCTAAAAACTGAGAGTTATGTTTTATGCGGTGGGAAGTTTTAGGACTTCAAGCCGGGGAGGGAGCATCTCCAGTAGCCCTGAGAACTGCTCCAAGGAGGCAACAGTGGGCAGCTAGGATATATAGGAATTTTGCAACAAAGGGTAGGTAGTCTGAACGTCAAAAGATTATTGTTAATTAAAGAAAGCCAGACCTCTGAAGGAATTTAGTGCTCTTCTATATATGGGAAGGTGCAAGAGTCTGGGCTTACTGAAATTATTCCTTTGATATGCACCTCACCTATCTGGGGCCAGTATCCTGTGTTTTCATATCCTGAGTTTCCTCGGGGCTCACCGAGGGGGAGTGGCTGCAGTCTGATGGCTGCTAGATAGCAGGTATTCTTTTCCTTCTTGAGTTCCCTCAGGGCTCACCAGATCGCCATGGCCGTGGCTACAATCACTGATGACTGTGATCCTTTGTTTACTGACATGGCAGGCAATATTCCATTTCTCAGTTTCATAGGTGAGCAAACCAAAGCTCAGAGAAGGTGGTGGATGACAGGACACGACAGAGCCAGAACAGATTTGTGGCTGTAGGACTCCAAAGCTGTGCTCTCGGTTATAATAGTTCATGTGTATCGAGAGCACTGTCCATGCTAGGTGCTGAACCAAGCCCTTTGTACAACTCACCCCTGTAAAGGCAGTATATTTGTCAGGGTTCTCCAATAGGATGTGTGTATATATATATATATATATATATACATATAAATATATATATATATATATATATATATATGATTTATTTTAAGGAATTCGCTCATGTGATGTGGAGGCTCACAAGTCCACAATCTGCAGGACGGGCCAGCAGGCTGGAGACCCAAGGAAGAGCCAATGTAGCAGTTCAAGTCTGGAGGCATCTGCTGCACACACCCTCTTGCCCAGGGGCGGTCAGTCTTTTATTCTATTAAGGCCTTCAACTTATTAGATGAGGCCCACCCACATTATGGAGGGCAATCTGCTTTACTCAAAGTCCACTGATTGCAATGTTAATTTAATCTAAAAACACCCTCATAGAAACATCCGGAATAATGTTTGACCTCACGTCTGGGCACCGTGGCCCAGCCAACTTGACATGTAAAATAAACCATTACAGGCAGGTACCATTATTGTCTCACCTTTATGGATCCATCACCTCCATGTGGTCATTGAGAGATCTGATTTGGTCTTGGGAATAACTTACCTGGTGGGATAAATCTAGTTAGTGTTGGAGTAGGCTTTGTGCTCTGACCACTGCATGCCCTCTCTACGCCCAACTGCATATTC